TGTGAGATGTTTAATAGTAGACAATGAGGATTTTTACTTTCATTTTACTGTAGTTTGTTACAAGTTACAATGCAATTCGATAGTTACCAGTTTTCTGAGGAGTATAAACCACTGTCAGTTCAAGGTATGGTGTACGTGTATCACAACACATTACAACCACCAGGAGTACGTGTTTGGACTTGGAACCCAGTGTTGTTTCTATTGGAAAACCTGTGAGGTTCCAAGTTTTATGCTACCACAATATAGAAGGACACACACTTGATCTTAATGCTTCTTAAATCACCTGCAGTTTGGTTTTCATGGATATAGAATCACAGAATGGTTTGGATGGGGAGGGACTTAAAGATCACCTAGATCCATACCCCTTATAGATATGACTGTGGGTGAGAACCGTATGAAATTAGTTTTAACTTCTTCTTTTCTTAGAGCTCCTTACTGGACATTTATAATCAGTTCCTGGCAGCATTGGAATCACTGAAAGAATTCTGGGATGCCATGGATGAAATAGATGGGAAGACATGGGTGCTTGAGCCAGAAAATCCCACGCGGGGTGCTACAACAAGAAGAATCGCTATAGGTATGGAAAGATTTAAAGGAATGTGATGGATTTGAGGGGTGCTGTTTGCTTTACTGATCTGAACAGATGGTGTTTCTGGGAGTCAGGAAAATGCAAGGAAGCTCTTAAAACTGGCAAGACACCACTGTCTTCTTTTGTGTGTTAAAAGACCCTGCCCCAGAATGGCCAACCTGGTTTAGGATACCAATTACAGCTTTATGGTGTTACAGAAAACCTACATTTCTCCAGGAAAACTGTGTGTTTGTGAATGATAAACATGGACCTGTCAGAAACTGAGGCTGTGCAGGAGAACTCTAGAAAAACCTGTATTTGTAAGAAAAATCAGCTTAGGTGAAGCCCTTATCTCATTCACAGACCGTTGCTTTAGATTGATCCTGTCCTGGAAGAGGGAAAGGAGTGTCAGAGTGCAGTCAAAAGGGAGAAAAGGGGGTTAAAAGAGGCAGGTGGAAAGGACAAAAAGGAAGAGAAGAGAGGAGATTGGAGGCTTACACTGTGAACTGTTCGATTCATATGCTGATGACTGGCATTTAAGGTCTGAGTATCTATGGGATAAGGAGGCTTCTAATGGCAGGGGCGAAGCTTGCTGCTGTCAGAGGGTAGAGAAGGGAGGGAAATGTTACTTTTGAAAGAAGAGTTCTGATTTTTAGCTTAAATCCAAAACATCAAGAGGATATTGGAGAAATGTGAGAACACACAATGGGCCGAAACAGACCTGAGTTGTGAGGAAGGAATGGAGCCAACGGGATGCTGAAACTGCTCCATCCCCAGGGACAGAGGGAAGGGACAGGCAAGGAAAGGTTCAGCAGCTGTGGGTTGGACACCGCTTTTCTGTGCGTGGCTTTGTCTTGGTTCCATTGTATCTTGACACAGACTAAGGAAAAGCCTCAGGAGGCACCTCAGAGGAGATCAGGGGAGGGCACTGTGGACTGGGAGCCCTTTGTCAACAGTCACAGTCTTTGGTTAGGACTGGATTTCATTCATTCCAGTGTCTTCAGGGAGGGGAAGCCTCATGTACTTCTTAATTATGAAAACACATTGGACTTCACCTGGTTTTATTTAGAGAAGAATTTGCCGTGAGGTTTTTAACCTGGATCCAGACCATTTTGGGGCTGTTTACCCTTTAGGAATACACAGCCCTTCCGAGGGTGAGCGCACCTTGTGCAAGGACATTAGCCACTTCAGGCGTAAGCCATTGTTCACTCCATCAGTGAGTGCATCACTGCATCACTGAGTGTGTGTGCTGCAGAGGGGACTGACTTCTACTGCTTAAAATTGGTTTTAGGCTTCTCTTTTTGACTGTAAAAGATAACAAGGAATTAATAATAATTACATCTCCACTAAGATTTCAACTGGATTCTCATCTGGCTTGAGTTTGATCAGTCAGAAATAAGTTGAAGTGTTAAGGTTAAGACTTAAAGAAATTCAAGACTGGTGGGGTTTTTTTTCAGTCAGTTGCTATTTTTATTTACAGCCCATTGAAATGTAAATATTTCCTATAGAGACTGATACTTTGTACAGTTAATAGAGATACCTACCAACTGTTATCATTTAGCGTAACGAAAATGAGTCTGGATTAAAACAATCATAGAATCCCAGACTGGTTTGGGTTGAAGGAACCTTAAAGCTTATGCACTTCGAACCCCCTGCCACGGGCAGGGACACCTTCCACTAGAGCAGCTTGCTCCAAGCCCGTGTCCAACCTGGCCTTGAACACTGCCAGGGATGGGGCAACCACAGCTTCTCTGGGCACCCTGTGCCAGCGCCTCAGCACCCTCACAGGGAAGAGCTTCTGCCTTATCTCCAACCTGAACTTCCCCTGCTTCAGTTTGAACCCATGAAATGAACCCATTTAAAACTGCTCCTAAAGAAAGGTTATGTTCCTATTTTGACACAAACACTTGCCTGCCAAGCAAAGCCCCCAGTGACTCTTGTGCTCTCTGTAGGGAACAACGTCTCTGTGAGTGTGGAGGTGGATCCTCGGCACCCAGCCATGCTCCCCGAGTGCTACTTCCTCGGGGCAGATCACGGTAAGAGCACAGACCTGCACTGCTAGTTTCTCTTCCAGAATCACATCTCTGCTGAGCACGCACTGTGGCAGACTCCTGGCGTAAACTGTACTTACCCAGAGCTGGGGATTAAGCTGAATGGGTGTGGAAGAGGGTTTTACACAGTGGATGCTGGGGGTTTAACAACCTAAATCCACAGCACGCTGGTTTGCTCTGCGAGTGATGCTGGTTTTCCAGTGCTTTCCTGGCACTATGTTTCCCTGTGTCCTACAGATTACCCATCATGTTTATATTGGAATAGCACTGCATATGTCCTAATAGTGTTTGAAAATACTTCAGTCTTTTACTCTGTGTCCCACAGCTTTTTGCCACTTTTAAAGGTAATGCAACCCTATCTTCAGCAGTGTGGTATTTAAAATGATAGTGCAATGAATTCCCCAAACTAAAAGCAGTCACTGACTTACGTAGTTCAAGCGATTAAACCCCAGCCCATGCTTTCTTCTCCAGTGCTGGTATCTGAGGGGGGAAGCAAAAGGGATGCTAAAGGTATGTAATGAGTTATGTGTTGTATTGCAGCGGTTAACCCCTTGAGAACCAAGCTGAACGACAACATGCACTTGTGGTAAGTACCTTTAAAGAGCACAGCTTTGAAACTGAAATGGAATTTGCCCTTCCTCGTGTTGACTTTTCTCTCTCTCGATCCTACCTGCAGGGATCCAGAAATCAGTTTATTGCAAAACTTGAAAGGCCTCTTAGAAATCGATTTCCCCTCTCGTGCTGTGTTAGAGAAAAGTGTAAGTTGCTTTTTGGTAATGCTCAGTCGTTATTCCTGAATAAGTAACAGTTAAATGGTCACTTTACAACTGCCAGCAAAAAGAAGAGACTTAGAGGAGAGGTAATGGCATTAATATATTGTCATAAGGACTTCTGGACTTCAAGCAACAATTGTCAGAGCTTGTTAACCCCTGATTAGAGGTGCTCACTTCCCTGTGGCCTTCCTAGCAGTGAGGCCATTAATAACAGGCTTCGCTATTAAAAGGGAAGGAGGAAGTTCCAGAGTAGCTAATGAGATGTGGCAAACCCAAACATTCTGTTATGGATGCTGATGACTTAAGTTCTAATGAGGTGGAGCTGCTCAGGGGGGACAAGAGGCCATCCAAATAGCACTGCAACACTGGATTATCAGCTTTGCTTCCACTTGTGGAATTCTGACATTAATATCTGACTGAGGGTTATGCCTGATGCTCACATGTAATGACAAATCATTGTGTTTGAGGAAAAAGAAACAACAGAGTATGAAAATGCCTGTCAAAGTAGATGTAATTCAGTGAGGGGATAAAATACAACCTGGCTTCAGATGCACAAGGCTTCAATAGTCTCAGTTTATGCCATGAGGGTATAAACGTACTGATTGAAAGCAAAACTTGCAAAAGCAGAGACCAACAGATGAACGTGTTGGCTGTGTTACCAGCTCTGTTTCTTCCTTTGGGTGGGCCTGTAAGCTAAACCATGTTGTGTTGTAAGGATTTTGCCAAGGACTGTGGGATCTGCTACGCCTATCGCCTCAAGGGCACTACTCCAGATCAGGTGTGTGATGACCCCCGCTGTGGACAACCCTTCCACCAGGCTTGTCTGTATGAGGTACAGTAACAGGACAGACTTTGTTCATTGCCTGTCAGACTCTGGAAAACAAGTGTTGCCCTCTCGAATTTCAGAAGCAGCAAAGTCCTTGAAGGAGTGTTACAACCACCACAGCCTCTTTGAGTCATAGAGCCGCAGAGTGGTGTGGGCAGGGCACCTTCCACTAGAGCAGCTTGCTCCAAGCCCCTGTGTCCAACCTGGCCTTGAACACTGCCAGGGATGGGGCAGCCACAGCTTCTCTGGGCACCCTGTGCCAGTGCCTCAGCACCCTCACAGGGAAGAGCTTCTGCCTAAGAGCTCATCTCAGTCTCCCCTCTGGCAGGTTCAAGCCATTCCCCTTGTCCTGTCCCTACATCCCTTGTCCAAAGCCCCTCTCATCTTGTAACCCCACACATCAGGCATAAGCTGTCTGTGAAGGGGAACCTGCCTCACTTTGTGCTCACATGGACTCTGCCTTGACACACACCATGAACTCTGTTTGGGAGAAATCCCCAGTAATAGGTAGTTCTTAAATTTGATATGAAACAAATGTGAATTCTAATCCACTTAATTGTGTTGCAGTGGCTACAAGGTCTTCCTTCAAGCAGACAGAGCTTTAATGTCATCTTTGGTGAATGTCCATATTGTAATAAGGTAAGGAAAGGCAAAAAATGAGTGATTGAATTAAACCATGAGTGGTAGCTCAGGTACAGGCAAAACCAGTAACAAAGTCTTTTCTAAAATGGAATTTGTGGCTATGATCTTCCCTTTATACTGTGGAATAAAGAGAGGAAAAGTAAATTCCCACACATTTAACGCACTGGGATTTACCCAAAGGTTTGCTGAAACAGCACAAGTTACCAACACAGCGGTGTCAGTAATTCAGTCTCACACCCTGTTGTATTTCACGATACATTTCTAATATTGCTGTAGCAAAGGTCCAGTTTCACAAATAAAGCAAAAAGAAATCCCACCGCTTGTGACAGAGACGAGCCTTGTACACATGGTTTAGTGCATGTGTAACTACGGAGTGCGGGACTTGCCTGGGAAGGATCTGTATTGACAGCGTTACTTAAACATCTTTTTCAAGCCACTGACGTTGAAATCTTCAACGAAGAAACTCTGAGAAGAAACTGTGTGATGGGAGCACCACCACACGTGCACTGAAGCCCCCGAGATGGTGCCATCAAAGAAAATACAAGGAAAGTACTATCAGCAGCAGGAGTACAAGTACTGCTGTAGTGTAATGGTACGTTCTGTCAGTAAATGCAAGCCTAAATGCAGTAGGAAGCGAAGGACGAGTGAAGTCAGAACCAGTTTCTTGCCATGGCAGTGGGTGATGCACAGTTAAGAGTCGATGGTGTTCCTTTCTGGGCTCTGAGAATAGTGCTTGGGGGGTGAATGGGGGCAATTCTCTTGCAGGGTATTTCTGCAGGGGAAAAAATAGTAATCATTAAATTTAATATTGAGATGTGAATCGGAAAAACAAGGATGCCAAAGAGGACATCCAGTTATCCTAAAGGAAGCAATACCAGTCTTGCAAAGCCTCAGCTCTGGCATTTCTAGGTACAAGTATACTGTATATTAAGTGTATAACATTAGGTATGATTAAACATCTTCTCCAGAGCCATCTCTATACTGAAGTCTCCAGAGCCGTCCTCTATATTTTACTGAATTCAACAGCTGAAATTCTTCTCTATCTTTAACTTGTTCCCAAAACTGTCAATATTTAAGTCTTTACAGTGTTTACATATGTAATGTATAAAACTACACTTTTTATTAGTGTTCCTGCTAATAAAGCTTTAGCCTGGAAACCCTCAACCTGAGTCTGAAGTCTGATTTGCTGTTTTAATTTGTGCAGGTTTTGCCTTTCATGGTGAAGCCAAACTTGTGATTTATACAGACAGCATGACTCTGTAGTATTTATGTGGGGTCAGTTCTAGTTGGCTGGGGGATTTTAGGTCTCCAGGAGCAATGTCATCCTTAGCTTACCCTTTTAAATCTCCTTTCTGGGAGGAAAGGAAATCCATCAGAAAGGAATCTGTCTCTCACACATCCCAGACTTAGCCATTTTTTCCACTGTCCCTCAGCAAAACTTTCAGCTTTGGTTTCCTTTCCCATTCTCAATAGGTAATTTTTTAGCAATACAGCCCTTAATTTCAACCTCAGCAATAGGAGAAAATCTGCATCTTTCTAATATAAAATTTCCTGTCTTCCTGTTTTATTCCTCTTTCAGATTACTGACAGACATCTGTTTCTTTTCTTTTAACTAAATATGGGCCCCATCTGATAGACACTAGTACATCCACCGTGAAGGCAGCTCATAGGTTATTTGTCTTCCCTGCTTTTTGTTGTTTCCATATTGTTTTAATTAATAGATGTTTATTATAACGATATATCATTATAATAGATATTACCTGTCTTCCTCATTTTGTCTTTCCCAGTTCATCTCTCCCAAGTGTCCTACCCTTCTTGTCCTCCTCCTCTCAGTCAGGTGTTCTCCTTTCAGCATAGCAGTGTTTCCTGTTTTAATTGATACCTAGACTATAGCTGCTTTCCAGCAGCCCCAGCTATGTGGCATTTGCCTGTTCTTCCCCCAGAGATACACCACGGAGGAAGAGAACTTCCCCTCCATGCTCTCTGTTCACACCTTCAGTTGCACCAGGGCCACCATTCCATCTTGGTGCCCGAGTCAGAGCATGGTGCCTGCAGTTACCTGCTCCACAGCTGCCTGGCCGAGGTGTGTGGCATTGCTCTCTGCAGGACCCTTGTTAGCTTCACCCTCCAGCTCCTGCATGGACCAGTGCATTTTTCCCTGCTTTGTAGATGACCCTTTTTTCCCAACCTCAGTTCTCTACACTGTCTATATAGCACTGCTTTACCAACCTCCTCAATTATGAAAGGAAGGGAGAGGAGTCTGCAAAACAAACTAGTGCAATCCTGCCTTTTTTCCTTCCCCATTTGAATATCTTAACTGTTACCCGACATCCATTTTAACTCCCATCTTATTGACAATATTCAGTGAGTACCCCAGAATGACTACACAGATGCAGCATTATTAATCAGATTGGAACAGCAGCTTTCCCTTTATAAAGACTAAATAAAGCCACAAATACAATATAAATACCAAACCCTCTGGGGGAAACCCAAAGCCCCAGGTTACTCACTGGAGTCAAGATCTACAACCCATACTTACTTTATGCTTGCTATTGCACTGAACAGGGGAAGTTACACCAGCTCTTTTTCCTCCCTATGTCATGCTTGGAAACCTAGATCTTGCTCCTTTTCCATATCTACTTCTTTCTTAGGACTATAGTCCTAAGTAGCACTGGAATATCTACTGCAAAGCTGTACGTGTTACTTTGAGTCACTGCTGTGTCAGGTCTCTGGCTACCTTGCTGTCAGCACATCTCCAGACCCCACTCTGCTCACCACTTGACTGCCTGATGCTCTCGGGTACAGCTGTGCTTTTCCTGCTTCCCTCTCCCAGCTTGTACTGGAGTCTCCAGGCAGTGACCAGCAAACTGCTTGAAGCAAAGAATCGTGTGTTAATCACAAAGCTCTCTTTAAAGGTGCGGTTTTGTGCTTATCAGCAATCGGCTGCATTTCACAAGCTATTTTTCTATCTGAAAGAACCCCAGAGGAGCATCCCTTTGTTACAACACACATTTAACTCCACAGAAACAGCACAGGGTGATTACCAACATGTGCTTAGTTCTGCATTAGTTTTACTAAACCTTGATTAACTTCTTTCATCAACTTTTTCATGTACAGCTGCAGAGTAAGACTGAACACATCCATTCAGCCCTTCCTTTTATGTGGTAAATTACCAGTAATATATGAGGTGAGTTAGTTAACTGCTAAAATCCTCAAATTAAGAAGTGAGAATTTAAGAACTTACTTGAAGAGTGCTATGAAGTTTTCCACTATGAAGAAAAGGAAACTACTGCAGTAAGAAATATTCTACCAAGAAAACAAAGGGAGACTCATTTCCCAACACTTCTAACACATGACCCACACTGCAGCACTTTACAAGTGAACTATAGAGAAACCGGAATGTTAGTTTCCTAACAGCAGGACCAAGCAACTACCCAAACTTTGAGTGTTTGTGGCCAGCGTCTCCTTTGTACACATTGAGTTTGGGCTCAGTTTGGGTGGTGTGAGGTTAGTGCTGTCTGAAACTCCTCGCATTCAGGGTGCCGTGCCTGTTGTCAGGGGCCACCAAACCCTCACCTTCTGTGCCCGGTTGGGCTCCCAAATCGTGAGTGGCCTCTCCTCAGGCTGGAAGTGCTGGCGGGTCACCCGAGCACGGGGCCTGCTCAGCCCGTTGGGTTCTTCCTCTTTCACCTTGTTTTGCTTCTGTGGCACTGGTTCCAGGGAAGGCTTCAGGAAGGGACCCTGTTGAGGCACACACAGCAGTTCTGTATGCTGGGCTGAGTAACGTTCAACACCACCACAGGTACCATCCTGCTACTTGGACCTGTCAGGTGTAAGTAGTGCTCTGATTGCACTTAGTCATTGTGCTTACAAGGAACTCAGTTTTATGTTTGGACTAACAGGAGCCAGGAAGCAGTTGCCACCTTCTGGAGCCTAGGACAGAGCACTTGGCTCTTCAAGCACTCCTCTTCCTTGCCCACCCCAAAAGGTAGACATGAAGCTAAAGGAGCAGCCAAGCTCCAGATGCCACAAAGCACTGCAGTGCCCAAATCCTCACCTGCTGAGGCTTTGTTTGGTGAAGCCTCCTGTTTAATCTACTTGGCTTTTCTTCATCATGGGGGTGTTTGTTTGTTGCCCCAGCACAAGCTCTGTTTTGGCAGACGTATTCCTCATATTCCTCACCTTCCATCTTCTTTTGCTTCTGCTGAACTGGTTTTGGCTTAGGCTTTGGTAAGCGAACCTGCTGATGGACAGTAAACAGGTTTGTACAGTGAAAAAGTGTTTCAAAAGGGAAAGCATTCCACCTTCAGTACTGAGAACACAGAACAAGAGAAAGCTTTCATCTCTCAAAAGAACTGTTTTCATATCAATAAATGCCTCCTTTGAACAGCACAAAGTTGAAACTTGGAAAGAATGCTCTAAAATAAACTTCAGGTATGGATTTCAGGCCATTCACTAGCAACCTTCACTGGGGATGAAGCCAGGAGGTCACTGGGTCATTGACAAGTAGAGCTGGAGGCATTTCATGTCACTGAACTGAGTGGCCAAAGCCCCAAAAGCAAGGTAACCACGAAGTGTTCTGACTCTGGTAATCTAATTTCAGAGTGAAGGGTTATATTCCCAAAGATGTAAGTGAGGAGCACACAGTGAATAGTTGCTTGAGTTAACACAAGCTTTTTCCAGTGCTGCTCGAAGCAGTAAGTATCAAATGATGCCTGGTTTTGGCTTTTGTGCCTTGGAAGACAAACATAGCCAAAACAGAGGCTGTATGCCACATGCCTTTGGTACTTCTGGCACACCAACAGCCCTCTCACTGTAACGTTTGCATATGGGCCTCTGCAGCAGCTGGATCCAAATACAGCCCTTGAAATAATGAGCTGCTTTTCTGTACTGCAAATTAAATACATGCAGGAGATAGAACCTGCACAAATAGAAGTGCCAGTGGGCACTTCTTGTATTGCTTAATCCAAAGCACCTTTTAAGAACATAAACCAGAGCTCTGCTCTGTGAAAATCGCTCACGTTCAGTGACGTGAAGGTGTATCTGAACAACTCAAGCTAGTTTTGGGCTACCTCAGGACATAACACTGCAGCTGGCCTCAGAAATGGAGATGCCCAGGGGAGTCTCAGTGCCACACTGACCCTTACCTGAATGCAGGGACCCAAGCTGCTTGTGTCAGTGCATCGAGCCAGAACAGCTCATCTTGCTGACAGCTCTGGTGTCTTCACAATGTAGATACATACCCCAAGTGACAGCATCGCTTTCAAAGCAGGGCTTGTGGCACTAGTGAAAATATATGTGTTTTATCCCTAAAACTTGCCATATTCCATACTAATATAACTGACAAGCCATTAATTTTCACTATCAGATCTACAAACTGCAGCAAGGCCTCAGCTGGCCTCACCACACTTCAGCTGGCCCTAATGCCAATGCTTCCACTGCAGGTGAAAATGCTGAAAATATTTATCCAGTGCCAAAGACTGGGGAAAACAAGTTTGATAATTAATGCAATTAATATTTTATCACCTATGTTTGGTGTGTGATTGGAACAAAGAGCCAGGACGTAGGCGCTGCTACCCTTTTTATGTCACCTCGAGATTAGATTCATGTGTTATACACAGGGAGCTGCATCTGAAAACTCATGTTCTGTAGCAATTCCTATTCACGCCTCCTTCAAGCAGCTTGTGCTACAAGATCCCCTTATTGGTATTTACGGGTGTTTACTGGTGTTCAGAAGGGAATTAACCCCAAATCACCTCTTCCCTGTGTACCACACTGGTACAAGTGGCTCTGACAGGTCATCTGGAGGCAGATTCTGCTCGTAAGCAAGAAGTGAGGAGACAGGGGATTGTTTGTAGTGGCTCCCACTATTCTGAGGTTGCCTCTTTAATGGGAGAAGTGTTTGGTGACTAAAAGGAGAGGTGGAAAGGGAACGCAGAGATGAAAAGCATCAGACCAAGGATAACTACAGACAGTGCTGAGAAGAGATGCAGTGGGAAGTGCCTGCCTGTCATCGAACACTTTGTCAGGGCTGTAGCACCGGAGTGCACCAGGCCTTGGCTATCCTCGACAGCCTGAAAAACAGGATTTTCTGCACACAGCAGTAAATTTAGACAAAGTTCAGTTCTCTCCTCTCCCTACTTGTATTTAAGTACTCCTGAAGTCCTTGGAATAACCCTAGAGATCTCTCTGCAGCTGTTCTGCAGTGGATGTTACAGGAAACATGTACACATAAGCGGCAGAACTGGCTGAAGAAACACACTCAAGTGAAAAATAGGTGATGGCTGGAGCAGCGCTACTGTACTGAGGATCAAGACACTCAGCATTAAACATTCCTCTGAAGCAGTGATGACAGGTGCCAGGATTTAGTAATATGCAGACACACTCTGATCTTGTTCTTGGCCATCAAAACCAATTCCGCTTAGCCCTACAGCGCAAGAGCGTTGATCGCTGACACCCCTCATGCACAGGTTTCACAGTGGGGTTGTGCACCTGCAAATAGCAAGAGCTACAGCAGCTTTTACAGGCTGGAAGGTCAGGATCATCTTTTCTGCCAGCACAGCCATGTCTTAGGGCAGGGAATAAGAGGAAAATAGATTGACTATTCAGTATCTGACTAAGAAATCAAAGCCTCCTGTGATGCAGAGATCCGGGATGGGGTCACTGCTGGCTGATCCCTCAGTTGTGTTCAGAAAACAGTGCAAACTTTATTTAAAGCTTCTCAAATCAGTGAGGACAAAGTGGTCACCAGCATAACAAGAGACATAATGTCCCTGAAACAGCGTTTGGGCTTGTTAAAAGTAAACCTCCAAGTGATAAACCCAGAAAAGTCAATAAAATTGCTAAAATAAGTCTGTGTAATTACCAAGATCAAAACCCAGTGGCTTTTTATTAAACATGAACTTTTGTTCTGCCTCCCATCATACGTAAATAGTGCTGACAATTGGTTTGTGAGGCACTTGCTACAATAAAATGTAATTGTATCATGAGAGAAAGGTGACAATCAGGAGATCATGAAAAAATTACATATTCTCACTGGTGGTTAATTAGCCATGCAAAACCCCCTCAAACAGATATTCTCTTCTATTAGGAATGATTACTATGCAGGCCTACAGATGTCAATACCACAGTCATTCAAATACTTCTTTCCCTACTAATTGAAGGTTGTAAAGCTCTGGTGCCAAGGTTTTGCTTCCAAAGAGCTAATTTATGACTAGAAGGATATTTTATGTCTTCAGTTGCAGCAGCTACAAAACTCAGCAAATCAGAACCATCTGTGCACTGATACTTGAATCACCATTCATCTTGCAGCCGATCAGTCACATTAGTTTGCATCCTGCATTCTTGGCTCACGTACACTTGTGATGGTCCAAAGTTCACCAGAAATATTAGGAATGAGCAGGACCCTGACCCTGCCTTATTGCCCACGTAGCTGAGACAGGAGCAGGGCTCTTGCATACAGGGGGTTTCCAGGCAGAGGTATGACGGGACTGACATTTCATGGCAAGTCCAGTAAGATTGTTAATTACCTCCATCTCCCTTTATTAAAGCACAGCTTTATTAACCACATAGTTTCAGACTTAAAAGCACAAGAGGAAAATAGAACACGATAGCTGCCACTTCCCAATTCAGTGTCAGCGCATCACATAGTGCTGCATACCAATCGCACAGTTAAACCCTAGGATAATGCCTCCTCCCCATCAGTGGCTGCAGGAGGGTGAAGGCAAATGACAAAGAACGGTTTGAAAGGGAGAAAATGAATTAAATGCTTTCACTAATAAAGGTAACTTTGCTTTTAATCTGGAGCAAAGGAAAAACGTGGCATTCGGGCTCATCTTCGAGATGTTAGTGAACAAAGTCCTTGACTTCCCCATTATCCTGAAAGTAAATCATTCTCCACAGACCTACCGCTTTGAAGCCAGAGGCTGTAGGTCAAAAGGACTCATGACAGTTCTTCCTCCTTAAGGGCTGACATCCCACATTTTAGCAGAGCCAGGGGAAACAGGAATTAACAAACATGGTGTATTTAAGGCAAAAGAACTGCTGTGTCAGTCTCATTTTGAGATCTTAAACTATTTCCTCTCCTGCAAAAGAAAAGGCAACAATCAAACAGGAGATGTCAGAAATAATCCCAGAACTGCCTGCCTTACTTTGGACACTTTAGGAGCAGTGTGATTCCGTGTGCACGCTGGAGCGGAAAATTCCAGAGGGCCATCATAGCGAATTCCGCTTGACTCCAGTCCATCCAGCAGGATTTTCTTGAGCACTTCATACTTTGGCTTCTCATCATATGCTAAGCCACAAACACATGCCAAGAATTTGGAGAGTTCACCTGTGGAGCATATTTTAATGTACAGTTCACTTGGTGTGGACTTAGAACTTCAGAAAGAATTTCATGCCAAAATGGATGCAAATCCTACACTGGAAATGAGATGACACTACTCAGGACACAGACCTGACAATATCTGATCATGTTTGGATGCGAAAGGAAAAGAAGACTTGGGTAAACAAGGTAACCCTTATGGATAAACAAAGAAACCCTTAAGGGCCGCATCTTGTCATGTATTAATTCATGTAGCACCAAAAGTTATCCAAGGATAAAAATTAATCAAAATACTTTATCAATATTGATAGTTGTGTGTAAAATAGAAGCATTTTATATTTGATAGGTTGTAATACCCCTTTAAATATTAACTACTGTCAACAGCACTTTTAATCTGCATAGATATTGTACTTCAAATGCTTTGGAAAAAAAAACGGGTGTTGGTTTTTACTTCTAATACTTGGGTTTGAGATTGCATCCTAAAGCAGCAGCATTATTTTGCTGTCATTACCAAATGGTTCTAGACAGAGAGGCCATTCAGGTTAGATACAAAGGAGTTCTCTACTGTGAGGCTGGTGAGGTGCTGGCAAAGGTTGCCCAAAGAAGTGATGAACACTCCCTCCCTGCCAGTGTTCAAGGCCAGGTTGGACAGAGCCTTGGATAACATGGTCTAGTGTGAGGTGTTCCTGCCCATAGCAGCAGGTTGGAACTGAATGATCTTAAGGCCCTTCCCAACCCAAACCAGCCTGGGATTCTATGATTCTATGAATGGGCAGAAATAACGCTGGCAGGAGAAATGTACAGGGAAGAATCAAACCTTTCTTTCAGTTGAAGACCCACACGTATCCTAAGACTCGAGAACAACACCAGATATTAGCATCTGGTAAATCCCAGAAGTAAAAATTTGTTAAATACGTATGCACATCATGGATATAGTTTATGTAATAGATGATGTGTTCCAATAATTCCTGATGAGAATAATGTTGACAAAATAAGTGAATAAATCCCAAAGGGACATTGACTTTTGAAGGAAATTTAGGTTTTTCCCTGAAATACTTTAGTATTTCAGTGAAGGAAGAACAAGACAAACCATCCATTCACTTGCTTTTTCACTCTGAATACTGAGCAATAAACCTTTTGTAGACAGTTGCTTACTATTTCCATACCAACAGCTACTTCTGTTTCTAAGATAGGCACTGCTCCCTCACACCTTGAATTACACATGGCTGAGGTCCCTTATGTCACTCTATGGCACGCACCACAGATGAGACTGATGAAGCTTTTTTATACGACCTCACACTAGGGTTGAAAACACAGCCCTCAATGGCTATTTCATCTCCTTAGTGCTTGTTTATGGGATAATGCAGGAAAGCAGCAGAAAAAGACTTCCTGTGACACATTCCAAGCATCTCCTATCAGCAAGCTAAATACAGACAGTGCAGGCTGAATCCTTCTCTTGGCTAGGTATGGGTAAGAGTGGCGTACACAGGCTTGACAGGAAGAGGTTTGTTCAAGGATGCCTTCCGCTTGCACACAACAGTTCGCCCTACGACTGGTCATACTGCACCAACTCAGGCTTTAAGGGTCAAACCTTTGCAATTGATGTAAGTGAAGACTTTGTTAACTTTGTGTTACTTTTACTCTACTTAATCTTCACCCCCCAAATAGAGTAAGACACAAGTATTTTCTGTAACAGGCTAAAGAGCTATGTGGTACATAGTGCAAGTACACTTACGACAGCTGCTTCCAGAAGAATCCCATTCCATCACTGAATCTGGGAGCTCATCCATAAGCCTGAAACAACAGGAGAGTGCAACAATTTAATGTGGTTTTGGAGCAGGTGATTCTTCATTTGGGATTTAGGAAGACAGCAAGTCTCAATTCCAAACAGAGTGGACCTCCGGGATAGCTAATGATTCACAGGGCTGCTTTTAAAACAAAAATCTCCTTTTACCAGCTATAGTTTTAACTCTTTGGAGACTGCTGATTTCACCAAGATGGGCTTACAGTCTGCACTTTAACATGAAGTTTTTCTTTGCAGCTCTTTTAAGCTTTCTAGACAGATAAAGCAGCATCCTTGGAGCTGAAATGGCTTGTTCTGATTTCAGCTCAGTGATTAATGTCTGTATTTTGGAATTTAAGAGGCAGTACTGCTCTGCCTACAAGTCATTTGGCATCAGGTCCTTTCTGCCACGCAGCTCATGGGTGATGGCTGTCAAAATTACAAACAGGCCTGACAGGGCTGAAAGGGGAGAGGGATGTTAACTGACCTCAAGCTCCATGGACTTCATAAACCAAAGGGCAATGCCACTGGTGTACTTCCTATCTACCCAGGAACAGCAATAGCCAAGAAGGATGGTGCTAAGAATCAATCACACCCTAAAAGCAAATGAAGTAACAGCAGCTCTCATCTTTGTGTAAGCATGAACCAGAAGCATCTCCTAGGCCTCTGGGCACCTGAACAAGCCCCTTGCTCTGAGGAAGTGAAATTATCACCTCAGTCTGGCTGCTAATCCTATTAAAGGATCCCTCTGTTTGTTTAAAGGAGCCATAAAGCTCCACCAATAAGTAACAGGGTGCATTCTCTAATGCATGAAGTAGGGGTACACTGGGTAATAACCTTCCCTTCAGTGATCTGTTGTTTAGTATCAGCAACAGAGAGTTCTATTTTGGGGAAATGAAGCATTTAAACGTTTTCCTGTAACCTAGCCTGAATTTCCATTCAAACAGAGCCTCTCCTCTAATTATTGCATAGCACAAACATTTCTGCATTCAAATATACCAGCAGACCTTAAATACCCCTGAGCAATGCCCAAAGCTTTGGCAGCATTGCCTCACTGCCCCAGCAGTACATGGAGGAGACTAAGAACTTGCAGTGAAGTGATGAGGAGATAACTGGTGAACAGCAGTTGGAGGCTCTGCCCTGGCTTCTGTCTTTCACTGCATCCCATCTTCCAGGCCCAGCTCCTCTTCCTCACCATCACACAGACTCCACAGCAAAGGTGTGGCATGCTCAGAAGCAACTCAGATGTGATCCTTAATGTACTTACTAACTTCGGAGCAACTGGATACACACACATATATATCCAGGTATCTACTTCTGGCCTTTAGAAACAGCATTGGCATTAAAAATGATGATAAATAAAAGGGGATGGCCTGGGCAAATGACCTAATACCAAACCCATAATTCATTAGATTAACAGGGTATTTCTGACAAACAGAATCTCTATCATTTTCTGTACACCTCCTGGAATCATTTGTTTGCCCAGCATCCTGAAAAGAATAGGAGCTTAAGGGTTAACCACAAGGGAAGAATTAGTGAAACAGCTTGATTGATTAAATTGATTTAACATTGAATTGTGTAAGTGTTACCTTGCAGGGGGTTGGGTAATGATCAGAACTTCTAAAGGAGAAATATTAAACATAACATGTGATGTCAACATTTACAGATGCAATCTGTATTATCCACCGTCTGCAGGCTAACCTTTCTCTCTGCTGAGAGCCAGTGCCACACTGAATTTGCAGATTGATTTCTGTGGCTCAGCTATCCCTATTGTGTACCTCTGTTGTGACTTGCCCTACTTAAAAGTTTGCTGCCTTCTCCAGTTGTGATGTTACATTTACGGGTAACTACTCTTCTGTTGCCTTCTACAGGCTGCACCGTACCACATGCAATTAACTCTCTCGAGTCCCAACTGTGAAAGCAGAGAAAAGAAAAACTACTACACTCCATTGCTTTAGTAAGCTCTAAATAAGTCATGCTGGGACAAGGGAAAGATTTTAATCGAGTTCTCTAGCATTTTGGCATTTAATTGTTTGTAATGGCAGTAGGCTTATGTAACATGAAAAACCTACTTAAAAACAGCTGAAAAATAGTATCATACAGAAAGTTAAATAAATTGGATGCACATGTGGAAAAACTTCCAAGGGATGCCTGTGCTATAGTCTCTACGAAGCACTCACGAAGTTCAGTGGGAACGCACAACCACCCTCTGGATGTGCAGTAAGGCCTGCACTGATTCACAAATGTTTGCTTTAAAAAAAGAGCATTATAAAATACACAGCAGACAAAATGAGTGTGTGCTGTGCATTTGAATTTATCATCTCTCCATAGCAGTGCACACAGGAACATGTGGAAGAGGGTATAACACACACAGAGGTCACATTTTTAACTGCTTCTAACATCTCTCTGAACTAAGGGATATTGTTTTAGCTTTTGTATATTGTTCAGCATGTAAAGGTGTCTTTTCCTGACCTGTCCTGTTAAGTGATGATGCTGCTACAGGGTTCTAGGGTGATGTGTGTGTATATGCACATATGTGCACATGTGTGTGCTGTTTAGTTTTACCTTGTTTTGGCAGCCTGGACAGCCACAGGGTCCTTCAGGTTCTGTTCCCAGGGCAGCTTCCCACACAACCATTGCAGCATGCAGTAGCCAAGGATTTCAAGGTCACCTCGTCTGGATGGGGCTAAAGGGATGGGAAAGGGTGGGGGGAGGAAAGGAAAATAAAAAAAAATAACAGAAAAGAAACCCCAAAAGATGAAGAATATGAACCTCTTCTTAGGAAATAGAAAAGTCTTTTGATTGAACTTGTGTTGATGAAATATGAAAAGCCAAATGGGCAAAGTGTTTTGTTTATTCAGCTGTATTAGACCTAAACCGCCCCGGCATTTGGCCACAGGCCACAGACAGGCAGTGACTTGTTGCTGTTGAAGTAAGGGTCAGTTTCCTCACCTCCTCCAACTTCATCCTTCCTCGGTCTGGCCTGTCACATGGACTTGATCCCCATGGCCTCTGACATGATCCAGACAGCCCATAACTGAGTACCAACACTTTCTCAAAGAGCCAAGCAGTAAAACAAAGAAATAAATGTCTGCTGCTAAATTGCTAACACATGTTCCAGGAAGTCCATGGGGTCCACATTGGTCATGCAGGGACCCTGTGAGTGCAGACTAAACACTGATGGCCTTTCCTGTTCTCCTACAGAGCTATTTGAACTTGGAAGATATGACAAAACTGCCATCTAGTGTACATTTACACACCAGAGTAGTCTGCTTACAAGCACCACGAACTGTTTAGAGTCGGAGCACAAGCTAAAGGACACTTGCTGTTTAGCAAGTCCTGTGTAAACCTACTACTACACTTCCAAAAAGGAACTGGTTTCAGGAACAACTTACTCTCATTTTGCACACCCCAAACAGATAACACTAACTACAGAACAGATATACAGTAGATATCATTCGATCCAAAATTAACCCCATCCACAAACATCATCTGTGCAGAAAACCAGGTCACTGAGTTAATCTATTGATTAACTTCTCCAAGAGAAAGAGGAGAAAAAAGTGATACCAAAAGAATTGCTATTCCTTGCTGCTATTCACAGGAAACCAACTTGAAAGACCTGAGCAAGCAGGATTGCTGCTCTATTTCTTTGTACACATCTGACTTGCAGCCGTAGTGTGCAAGTCAAGACCACATGGAATCTGCCAAACCAGAGGCCGTTCATCGTGATTAAAACCAGACAGAGGCAGAAGTTCAATTTATGCTTTTCCAAACTGGATTTGCACTTTCCAGGAAGGAAAGAAGATTTCAGATTCTTTCAGTACTTTTTGTCTAGTGTAAAGACTAGTAGTTGAGCACAGTGCTGTTAATCCAGCTGTAAACAGATATCATATTTTATGGGCCTTCATTAAATACATTCCAGAAAGTCACTCAGCAAACTTATCTTTTAATTTAAGAAGTCATCTGCTAAAAGCTACAGGGCCAACACATCATAACTGCTGCTTGTTACCGTACACACATTATTGTAAAAGCAGATTAGTTCTTCTACATTCTCTATCTTAACTGCTATTAGACGATGGGATTATTAAAGGCCCTTCAATCTAACAGAATGCTGCACTGTCCCTTGGGTGTCATCTGTTTTCTGCACTAGATTCAGCAACATCCTAATGCAAGACTTGGCTCTCGTATTAAAATAAAAACACAATCTCTACCTCTTGCTGTTCTGTAGTGATTTCTTCAGCCATAAATCTCCTGTTAACTGTGGAACAATTCCATTCATACACATGTGCTCACAACTCCCTTTTCCATCATGGCAATTCCAGATTATAACCCTATCAGCCAGCATTTTTTTTTCATACAAGGCTTTTCTGGTACCTGCTTGTGCAGAACAGGCTATAGAAAGTGGCCTTTTGAAGTCCAAGAGAGTGGACCACCTTTTTACCCACTGAGGTGCTAACTGATAGGAATCTGTAACTGATGCTAAGTCCATTATTTTTCAGAAGCTCACCCAAGATACCTCATTTTCTGACAAAACAGTCCCCAGAGAGTAAAGTTTCCTTCACAGTCAATAGTTTGGATGGGTCTAATTTACCTCCTCACTCCCGTGCAGTCCTTCTAGCCATTTCCTGACTAACACCAGCCCAAATCCACTGGAAACAGGGAGATGTGCACAACTAAGACTTTACTAATTCCTTCCTAAAGCCACAGTAGTCAGCTGGGGAAAAAGAAATAAAAGGTACATGTAACTAAGCCATACATCACTAAAAAACAAAAGGGGAAATGTTTTACAGAGAGATGGAGAAATCCAGTGTCACTTTATCTCCCAGGTCACTGCAAGTGTTACTACACACAGACGTTCACATGTGGTTTTCATAGATAGAACCACATGAAAATGTCAGTGTTTGATTATTTGACTGTACGAGCATAGTCTTTCTCTCTGCTTCTTTGTCAGCTTGCTGCTAGAGATGCTACTTCCTCAAGTTTTGAAATCATTTAGATCCTTATTATAGAAGTATTCAACTAACTAATATCTAAGGAATTAATATTATCTGTGAACAATAGAAACATTCAATTTTCACCCCAAATACAGCACGAACACATAGGTTTCAACTGTAAGTTCACTTGCAGAAAGAGATCTGCTAATACAATTGGAGGGTACAGAACTTCTGATAAACATTAAGCGAGGGAAGTCAGTCTGGTTTCATTTTACATGTGATAGCCATACAAAAACGAAACGATTCTGCTTTATAACTTGTCACCACTAGAAGAATAAACACTCAAAATAGAACTTATTTAAATCAAATTCTCTTCCTTTGCTGTGGGTTAAAACCTTGGGTTTTTTTTCTTTCTTTTTTAATAGATTTTTGATTTCTGCTTTTCTATTCACCGGGAATTTCTTTATTATTATTTTAGTCTCATATTTAATCCTATTTAATGGGAGCACATTGGTGATATTTTATTCCACAATATTTTTATAGTTTAATTTTTTAATTTGAAGATTTAAGGCCTGATTCTGCCCTCACTCCTGCCAAGATAAATCAGGAACAGCTCCACTGAAGTTAATGAACTAACAACCACGTCAATGAAATCAGAGTTGGGCCATAACTAGTTTTATATATATCACAACCATACGCTCAAGGTGCAGGAATGGGGATCAGTGGTAACTCAGAACCCCATAACTGAAGCAATTCATCCTGAGAAGAAAATATATTATGTATCTCCATATAGTGGATTTGGCAGCTCTCTGAGCCTTAATTTGGATTCATGTTACTAGAGATGAAGAATGATATCACCCCGACCACAATGTGCTCTCAAAAGTACCCTGCTCCCAAAAACTCATCTGAAACTCATGTGAAAATCGGAGTTTTCCTTTCCAGCCCTTATTAAACTAACTTTCTCAAGCTTTTTGTAAGGCTCTAACGAGTGACAGATGAAATGTTCTTCTATTATTTTTAATTAGCACTGTTACATTATAATTTCACCATTAGCGTTGCTTTAGATTGGAAGCTTTTCATAAAAAGGATCATTTCAGTTGCTCATATTGCATCTACATGCAGTGGAGCCTCCAGTTCTCCCTGGCATTACAGCATACAAATTCATGTTAATGCACAAACAAATATAACTCATACCCATAGCCATTAATCCAAAAGCCCATAAAGGAAAGGAGTGTTAACATGACCATGGAGAAATACCATTATGTTAAAAATGCATCACCACAATGTTTTAACAAATGAACTGAAAGTGATATAATTTCTGTACTCAAGGTTGAGGTTCTTATAAAAACAGACAAATACAAGACTATCAAAAATCAGTGTCTGTATTAGGGGAAAGAAAAAGGAGAAGACCAAAAAAGCTAATGAAGTACTGTTTCCCAAATACAAGACTATCAAAAATCAGTGTCTGTATTAGGGGAAAGAAAAAGGAGAAGACCAAAAAAGCTAATGAAGTACTGTTTCCCAAATACAAGACTATCAAAAATCAGTGTCTGTATTAGGGGAAAGAAAAAGGAGAAGACCGAAAAAGCTAATGAAGTACCGTTTCCCCAAGGAACTGGTCAGTCTGAGGAGTTCACTGCAGCAGGAGAGTGGCTAATTGAATAGAGTGACTGGAAACAGGGAAAAGGTTAGATAAATATAGTTAAATTTATGATTCATTTTAGTGCTTGGATGCCATTCTGTGCAGTGTTATCCCTTCTCAGGCAGGGCAGCTGCCAGCAGGGGATGGGAACAACCTCTCCTCCCCTCATGTACAGTTCTGCACCATTAGCTTGGCACGCTGCTGGACAATAACCAACACCACGGAATGCTGAAAGGAAAATCCAGTGCAAACATGGTGTCACCACAAGTGGACAACATCTCTCCCAGAGAACCCAGTCTGGGATGTGGCAATGAGTCACTTCTCCTGTGCCAGCTGTGGTCTCCCTCCTAAACTTGAGTCCCATAGATGTACATTCAACTGGTCACACAGCTGGTGGGCAGGAGTTCCTGCAGGGGTTCACATGGAGGATACAACCATGGCTCCCTAGCACTGACCATGCCTTGGTGGTCACAGAGGTGCCCTGGTGACAATATCAGCCTCACAGTCCTGAGGGGTCACTCATCTCAGGCAGCATCAAAGCTGGAAACCAGCCTGCACATCAGCACTGGCCTGTCAGATGCAGGAGGCAGTGTCAGCACAGGAGCTGGATAACTTGTTTCAAGAGCCACAAAAGCTGCAACACTACTGCTGCTGTCCTGCCTTGAGCAAGCTCATGGGCACACGGAGACCTCAGCAGGTCTTGCAAGCCACAAGTTCCCAAACTGTGACCCCCGAGCCTCCCCAAAATAGCAGAGCTTTCCTGGACAATCACAACAGCCTAATGTGCAGACACGTGCCCAGCAACCTCCAACCAAGCAGTTACACACATCCACTGACCAGCAAATCTAACTGCAGAGCCTCCTTGATCTTGCATTTGCTCTGCTGCAGCCACAACAGAAGAGTGCAGCCAGCAGCAGAATTCTCCTCTCAACATGGACAGAGAGTGAACAACCATCAGGATTAGTGGAATGGGATGCTGAAAGGAAGAGGGCTGAGATCCTGATTTGGTGAGAAGGTTATGCAGAGGGAAGGTTGGGAGATGCAAGGGAACTTCACCGTAACATATAGATGGGAGATAAAACGGTGGTGGCAAGAGATGCAGGTACCTGG